CTGGTGATTAAATATTAGGGCATTTTTTTCTAATGTAAGGAAAAGAAGGATGAAGTTGGGAGTAGAATAATGCTGTTAACCCACTGCCAATCAAATTGACACTCATCACAATACTATACTCTTGTATTTTCTTAGAAACATGCTGTTCAGTAGAGAATAACTAAAAGAAAGGCTGTGGAAACCTGGTGAGATTGAACACCTAATGCAGAGTGACTAAGTGAGCTGTGGTGTGTTCTTATTAAAGGTTTGTGACACTTTTTTAAGGGGAGGCACATGGGAAAAAATTAAAAGCGATTATTCTATAGTATTAATCACATTATTGTACCTTTAGATTGGAGAGTGCATTGCCACAAGCAACGATTCAACTTTCCATGTCACTTTTGACAAGGTAAGCACTTACAATTATTAATTTTTATTCCAGGGATCACTTGCGAATATTAAAGACAAAACTTATTAGGTACTAACTAACCTTTAGAGGAATGGATTTCAGAGTGAAGTCGTTTGAAGAAAGATATAAATTAGGTTACAATTTACTACCTGGTTTGGTGGAAAACAAGCGTTTTACTTATGTAGGGGCCCTGCGAGACCTCGCACAAAGAGCCTTACTTCCCAATACTGTAGTCCTACTAAATAAACCTCTCCCAAACAACACTGTTCTCAAGAGGCCATTCCTGTTCGTCTCTTTAGAATGCCTTTACTTTTTCTTGTTGTCCCTGTGCTTGGGCCCTGACTTATAAAGCCAACAGATGAAAACTGTCTGGGAAGGTGGACATGTTTGTGTTATTATATGGTCATAGGCAATTGACAGTTAGAGTTACTTTTTTCTGCAAATCCTGAGTTGCTACTTTAAGGCTAAGGTGAACCAACAGGGGTGCAGAGATACCTATAATAATAATTAGTCAAAGAGTTTAAAATTAATACCTACGACAGTGGCATGAACAGTTCTTCATACCAAAAAACTAATAAGAAATCACCATGCCAACCTCTCGTCAGATGCTGTCATGATTATGTTTTGTTCAAGGATCTCAGGGGAAAGTAATACCTCGAAGATCATCCATTAAAAGGCAGAAAAACCAGACAGTTGACTAAAATGGACAAGGAGAGTTTGTCCCTGCTGTTTTTCAGTCGGTTTTATTGATCAATTCTGTCAGTTAGGTAAAAATTATTAGCCGAACACCTCTCTTAAATGGACTTTTGGACCCTTGTGCTGTTCTTGGGGGTGATCAGCATCAAATTTCTCCTTGTAATATCATTATGCTTTGTAAAACATAGTGGTCATGATAATTACGGACATGATCACACTAGATGAATTTCCTTCATATTTTATCAACTTCTCCCCACTACTTCTGTAGGAAATAAATAGAGGTAACAAATGAGAATTCAAATTTTGATCTTAGGGTTTAAAGGGTTAAAGAGAGTTAATTGTATCATATCTGAACCTAGTTTTTGTCTCCATTTAGATGAATATCCTGGAATGATATGGAAAAATAATATTGGAGTATGGCAAACACCAGCTGCAAGAATGTACAGGTAATTTAGCTATAAAATTTGCATTTTTTCCTTTCTTGATCATCATCAATCGTACAACATGTTGATGTAGTTTTTTCTCACTGAATTTACAACTACAGTCAAAGTTGGGTGGAAGACTGTCTTTTATGCAAAACGTTTATCAGTCTTCCAACTTAAGTTAATTAGTTCTATGTTTTCTCTGTTATACTTGCTTTGCCTGTTCAAAACACTGAAAAAGCTACAACTGTGAATTGCTTTTGGTTACATTCCCTCTGGTTTCTGATTATCTCAGTGTGACTGCATTCTTCTTATTGGCCAAAATGGAGCACTTTTTGCTCTACCTATTTGGGAAATTGACTTATAACAGCAATAGTATTTGGATTTTGTAGAAGGCACAGTTTGTTTAAAATGTTCACAATAAAATTGACATCTAGTTGTGGTTTTCGTTTATCAGCCACAATCTCACTGATAATTAATAATAGCAGTTTTTGTAATCAAGGCTTATTCTTTTAGCAAGGGTAACATCTGGCAGTGTTTGAAAGAGCAATCTTAAAAATGGCAAATTCTAAGAATAATTATTTTACTTTCACTATATATAAAGCATGGACAAATAGTGCATGAAATACACTGGACGCAGATCACAAGTGAAGTAGATGTAAGGGAAAGGGGAAATCGGTAAGTTCAGAGCAGTTTGTGCTGATATTATTATTATTGTTCCATGAAATAGATAAAAAATTAATGATAATCTTTTGTATACACGGATCTGGTAGCTGAGGGCTCGTTTAACATTTTCAAAGTTTTTTACTGTGGAGCTAGCTTGTTCAAGGGTAGAGGCCCTTATTTAAAGGGAGAGTCTTGTAAAAGAAACTATGAAGTAGTAGTTTTAATGATGAAAACATTACTTGGTTATTGATACAAGAATTTTGAACTCTAAAATATTGCCATTGTTACATTTATAAAGATGGCTTTTGCTTTATAAAGTAAAACTTGGAATCTAACTAGAAACAATTTATTTTCAGTCATTGACTTATTCCAAAGATCCCTTATATGTTAGTCTTTCAAAAAGAGCTTTTAAAAAACTTGATTGAGACCTAACAACAATAAGAGAAACGCGTGGGTTAGCTAGGGACAAGTGCCGTCATTAGCACCATTGACAAGTAACTTTCTTAGATTACTGTCCAGTTTGACACCTTTTTGTAGTATAATTTCAGTTCAAAATAAATGTGATGGGAGGGCGAATGAACAAAAGCTTTAGTTAGAGGACCCCTGTGATAATGTGGTTTTAACCTCATCAAAACATCAAAGATAAAGCATCAAAATATCAGTGAAACCTCCACTACAAGTTAGTTCAAATAATTTTTGTGACGATTAGCCTGAGAAAACAGCTGACATTTAGCGATACCACAAATGCTTTTCTTTTGAAATGACTTTGAAAAATCAAAGTGCCCTAAAATATCTCCCTTCATGTGTTTCCTCTCAAATTTTGGGTGTAAGATAATTTTTATGTCCTCTGTCAATTTTTGGCATCAGCAGGATTCCAACTCATTATTTAAAGGAAGCATTGGTCATGTGACCTCTTAGTGCAAGTGGCCAAAGTGACATCTGAGAAACAAGCGCAGAAATTCTACACTGATGATGCATCACTACCCAGATCTGAGGGTAGTGCTTTTGATTGGTTGAAGCAAATTTCCCAGGCAGCACAACCAATCAAAACACTGGGTAGTGATGTGTCATCAGTATAGAATTTCTGCATTTGTTTCTCAGATGTCACTTTGGCCACTTGCACTAAGAGGTCACATGACCAATGCTTCCTTTAAATAATGAGTTGGAATCCTGCTGATGCCAAAAATTGACAGAGGACATAAAAATTATCTTACACCCAAAATTTGAGAGGAAACACATGAAGGGAGATATTTTAGGGCACTTTGATTTTTCAAAGTCATTTCAAAAGAAAAGCATTTGTGGTATCGCTAAATGTCAGCTGTTTTCTCAGGCTAATCGTCACAAAAATTATTTGAACTAACTTGTAGTGGAGGTTTCACTGATATTTTGATGCTTTATCTTTGATGTTTTGATGAGGTTAAAACCACATTATCACAGGGGTCCTCTAACTAAAGCTTTTGTTCATTCGCCCTCCCATCACATTTATTTTGAACTGAAATTATACTACAAAAAGGTGTCAAACTGGACAGTAATCTAAGAAAGTTACTTGTCAATGGTGCTAATGACGNAAAAACGATGTCACATGACCTCTTAGTGCAAATGACCTATTCAGTGGTGGCATTGGGAAATGTCAGGTGATATCTTAGGTTGTGTATTAGTTACCTCTATTGAAGGGACACATCTGCTAAGGGATGCAAGGATGAGCATCAGTTACAAGAAAATAAAAAATTGGCAGCTATAAGAGTGCATGTGAGTACAGTTGCTTTAATGGAAAGGGCGCACATGGAAGTTTGAAGAATAACATCAAAAAGGCAAGAGTAAACTATGAGAGATAAAGGTTTTTTGTTTGAGATGGATGCTAAGATGAGCATTGGTTACAAAATAGTCTAAAAAATAGGCAAATGTAAGAGTGCATGTGAGTACAGTTGCTTTAATGGGAAACAGGTACTTGAAAGGGTGCATGTGAAAGTTTGAACAACAAGAACCAAAAGGCAAGAGTAAACTATGAAAGAATGATGGTTGTGTAAGGTAGACGAGATAAGCATCAGTTACAAGAAAGTCAAAAATAAGCATTCGTAAGAGTGCATGTGATAACAGTTGCTTTTAATCAATTGAAAGGGTGCACTTGGAAGTTTGGAGAACAACAACGAAAAGGCAAGAGTAAATGATGAGAGATAAAGGTTGTTTTAGGTAGATGAGATGAGCATTTGGTTACAACAATTAAAAGTAAAAAAAAAAATAGGCAATCACAAGAGTGCATGTGATTAATAACAGTTGCTTTAATGGAAAGGGTGCACTTGGAAGTTTGGACAGCAACAACAAAAAGGCAAGATTTGTGAAAGATGAAGGTTGTTTAAGGTGGACAAGATGAGCATCGATTGCAACTAAATAAAAAATAGGCAATCGTAAGAGTGTATGTGAGTACAGTATTGTGAAAGATGAAGGTTGTTTAAGGTGGACAAGATGAGCATCGATTGCAACTAAATAAAAAAATAGGCAATCGTAAGAGTGTATGTGATTAATAACAGTTGCTTTATTGGAAAGGGTGCACTTGGAAGTTTGGACAGCAACAACAAAAAGGCAAGATTTGTGAAAGATGAGCATCGGTTGCAACTAAATAAAAAATAGGCAATCGTAAGAGTGCATGTGATAATAAAATAATAATTAACCCATTCCCTCCTAGAGATTTTGCCGAAAAACGCGTTTTGAAGCTAGTCGAGTGGTTTTCTGGTCACTGTTCACGATATTTCTCGATTTTGAATGGTGTTTGGCCAAATGTCCAGCATGTGAAGCGCCGGAAGACTAGGTCTACGTTTTATAGTCGAACGCTTCAACGGGCATGCGCAGAAAGCAAAATTTCGACTTCTTGCTTTCTCTCCTGCCTTCTTATTTCGCTTTTCTTGCCTCATTTTTTTTTCTCTTGCTGGGCATTTAGTAGGCTTCATTTTGGTAGGAATAGTTTTTAGGAAAGCTTTTAGGATCTTAGGATTAGGTGAAAGGAAAGGTAGGTGGGCAATGGAACAAGATTTTCTTGGAGATTTTCAGGTCCATGTCACGTGGTTTTTTGCTTCTTTCTCCAGTGTCCTTGACTGAATTTTACTCATTCTGGTATGATTTGAAAGATCTCTTCACTCTGCACAAGTTAGCGAAGAAAGTCGTCCTTGACCGTTAAAACTGATGACGTCACAGAGGGTAGAAAGGACCTGGATCCGCACGGGCGGTTACGGGCAGTTACGGGCGGTTCAGGGGCGAATGGGTTAATCAAAAAACGTAAAAAATGGCCTTGTACCAACTTTTTCACCTGATTTTACATGAAATAGACAGATTTGGTTGTTTTATGCTGAAAAGTGGATTTTTTTCAAAAAGCTTGGTGTTTTGCTTAATAAAAGTTGCTGTAATGGAAATGTGGTACACTTGGAAGTTTAGGCAGCAACAACAAAAAGGCAGGAGTATTTAACTTTGAAAGATGAGGGCTGTTTAAAGTTGCTGAGTTGAGCATCGGTTTCAACAATGAAAGTGAAAAAAATAGGCTTTCGTAAGATTGCAAGTGATAAATAACAGTTGCCTTAATGGAATGGGTGCACTTGGAAGTTTGGACAGTAACAACAAAAAGGCAAGGGTTGTGAAAGACGAAGGTTGTTTAAGTTGGACAAGATGTCAGAGCATTGGTTGCAACTAAATCAAAAATAGGCAATCGTAAGTTTGCAAGTGATTAATAAAAGTTACTTTAATGGAAAGGGTGCACTTTGAAGTTTAGGCAGCAACAACAAAAAGGCAACAGTATTTAATGTTGAAAGATGAAGGTTGTTTAAGGTGGCTGAGACGAGCATCGGTTACAACAAAATAAAAAATTAAAGTAGAATGCATGTGATTAAAAATGATTGCTTTATGGGACGGGTACACTTAGAAGTTTAAACAACAAAAAGGCAAGAGTATTTAACTTTGAAAGATGAAGGTTATTTGTTTATTAGGTGGGCAAGATGAGCATCGGTTGCAACAAAATCTATGCTGCTGTACTATGGATCATGTTTTTTTTGTTACCTTCTTCACTGGGTTCTTTGAAACAGTTTCTCGTGTTTCTTGAAGTTTAATTTTGGCAAAGTTCCCCTGTTATTGGTCAATTATGACCATTAAGGCATTATGTCAAAAACTGTAAACCATCTATACAAATTGTGATAAAACTACTAAATTGCATTTTTAAGCTAGAGCGTAGTAGAGGGTAGTTTTGTGAGCCATGGTCAGACCTCTTTATCCTATTGTGTCATATAAATGAATGGTTTTCTCTTACATTGTGACTCGTGATTTTATATTTATTGTGATTTAAGATTGCATGAAGTGTTTTTTCTGTTTTGTGAAATGTGGAAAGGTCACTTGAGTATCTTTGAAAAGGGAACCACTTGCTGTCTTAAAAATAAAGGGTCCTACGCGTATCTGCATATATAGAACCAATCAAAATTAATGCATGCAACTTGATTTAATATGATTGATTTTCTGAGATATATCGTTGGTTCTGTTTACATACAGCGACAAAATTGTTGAGGCTTAAATGGAGTTACCCTGCGAACAGAGTCTCCTTCGATCTTCCTAGATAAGTCGGGAAGAGGAAGGAACCTCTGCCGACATCCTCAACAATTCTTATTGAGCATGCTCCAAATTCAAATTTTTCTGCGACGTCAATCAAACCGTTACCATAGCATCCACTGTGTTTGTCAGCAAATTTAAATGTTAGCAGGAACGTATCATTTCGTTTTCACCCTTCCATATCTGTGTTTCCTCTGGATTTGGAAGCTGTATAGGAACAATTTCACGTTCGGAATCTAAACTTGCCACGTTTCAGTATAAAAAAGTTAAAAAAACTTAGAACTAAGGTAAAACTTAAGGTGCTTTTCAAAAACAAAGCTACGAACCTTGAACACAGAAACACACAAAACGGATCAAAATCCACCAATCACAAATCACAAATCATGGCCTTTCGTTTCCTAAGAGGTTCGCGAAAATGTAAAGGTGGGAAGTGAAGAAAGGGCCACTTCTTCAGATTGTGGACGTCGTGGAAAAACACAAAATCCAAAGACGTTTTTGGCATTGCAGGTCGGGTATTATCCAAAAAACATCTGTAAAAGCATTGATCATTTAAATGCAAGATGTGGATTCTGTAGCCTCATGATCTTATTTTGAATTAATGTTATGAATGAGCAAACACCAAAGAATAGCCATAGATATTGTTTCGTAAATGTTTTTATTCAAAACCCATTTTGTTTATCCATCCAAGAACTTCGCGTAACACTTACTGGATTGGGGATCGGTTCTCGCAAGTAAAATCGGCTAAGTACATGGTTAAATCCAAAACGAAATCCATCTCAAGTGTGGGTGCATTTTCCAATTTTTCTCAAACTGAACGTTCAATCTGTAATTTTCTCAAAATTCTTGCATAAAATTGAAGCAGCAGCTATTTATCTTGTTATGGAGTTTGGGCGCGGAAAGAGTCAGCAAAACTCCGAAATATGCATGCATGCACAGGTAAAACTGGTTTATCCAGTATGAAACTTGTCTGACTCATCTAAATCGTTGGATGATCGGCAGATCAAAGGAACTTGAAGATGTTGAAAGAGTCGCTTCCTCTTTCCCGACTCATCTAGGAAAGATCGAAGTGACTCTGCTAGTGTGGTAAAATGGAGTAACTTCGGAGAACAAACTGGTTTCCTTGTAAGATGACATCTGAAGAAGGATTGGAGAAATTCCATACTGATGACTTGTCACTACCCACATAGATCTGATCTGGGAAGTGCTTTTGATTCATGGCAGGTTGAATCAAAATAATTTCCTTCATGGTATGACCAATTTTGGAAGAGCTATTATACTATACAGAACTTGGTAGCGACATGTTATCAGTATGGAGTTTTTGCGCTCATTCCACTGACATCATTTTGTGGAAAACCAATGGTAGTCTCGTGAAATGTCACCTGTTTTCCTTGGACTAAGTTACCCCTTTTAGGATAACCTCTTTGATGCAACAAATCACACTCCAGGGTCAAGTCAAAGTATGCCGATGACAACAGTTATCTCTTCTTGCACAATCTCTCTAAAAACTGATATAATGACATGCACTGATTCCACATGACAGCAATCAGCTGCCATTTTATTCGACCTACATAGCAAGATAAAAATTGCCTAGAGACTTAAAAACTATCGTAGTTTATGAATTGAATTGTATTTGTTTGTTTATTTTTGCTTTTGGCTGCTTAAAAAGCAAAGAGATAACGCCACCTTCTTCACTCAGGCTCTACTCCCTCAGTGTGTCTGGCCTCTTTTCACGATAGTGACTAACATCAAGTTTCTCCTAACATTTTCAAACATAATCAAGAGTGTAGGTTAAGAGAATTAATAAAATGATCACAAAGGAGGACATCCTTTGATCTTTCATCAAATTCTCTAAACTAATCCTTCAAGGAAATGATGGACATCACATAGCAGAATAATATTGAGGCTTAAAGGGTTAAGAAATTCTCAGGTATAATATTGTCTTCTCCCTTTTATCTGTTTTGGCCAACAAATGTATTTTTTTTATCGGGTGGTTGTTACTTAAGTCAGTGACTACTTCTTTATTTTAACCTGATATAAACTGATAGAAGTGTCTGTTATTCTGTACGAAATATTCTGTATGTTAGCCGGTATAATCCTTTGACATGTAGCTAGTGAGCAATAACAAAACCAACAACAAGTTATTCAATAATTATTTCAAAATACTTTACAATTATGTTATGCACAATTAGTGGGGCTATTCTCTGGCTATTAAAAAAATAACGACTTGTGTTATGCAACAGGATATGACCCATGAACGAACTGAATTGTGAATGTGCTTTTTACTTGATTATGATGTGTTTGTACAGCTGAGCCAAAATCAGTTATTATCTTCTATTCATTAAAAATCTTTTCGTGCTCTTGTCTCGATTGTACTTAATAAATCTTCCATAACTTCCTATTTTGCCCGAAGGTGGTTGGCAACAGGTTGAACACTTAAGTGTTTTGAACATTTTCTGAAAATTAAGCTTGATCACTGCATTATTGTATCTGACTATTAACATGCCCAAAAGATGAACTAAGAATACAAAATAATGTGAAACCTGGTTCAGAGCCACCTTAAGTGTCAAAAAATCAAGTAGACACTTAAGTCTGAACCCACCATGACGATTTCTTTTAAAACCTAAGTTAAAAGGCATATTTAAAAAGAAAACATCACCATAGAAATAGGCAGTGATCCTCATCATCAAATATATTTTTGATACCATTATTGTATTGTGATAGTGTTGATCCATTGAAGTAAAAGGCATGTAGCAGCTCTCCTAACCCTAAAAGCCAATTGGTTGGATACCCTAACAGTGCAACAGTGGAAAGTAATGATAAACAATGATGTGGTATTGTTTTTCTGCGACCAATGAGAAAACACCTTACAAGCAGCACTTACCTTACTGAGTAAAAAAGCTCAAAAATAGAGAAAATGTGGATCAATATAAGCCAGCTAAAATTCCAACAAGACTGCTGCTTACTTGTAGCTTTCATTGTAGATTAAACTCAAGTACAAGCTCTTATTGCCAGTGGACTTAATCCACATTTTAAATCCAAGACAACCAAGCCCTCTTAGATTTCAAACAATGTATCTTTTACATCAAGTTTGAGCTTGATAGGGACTTGTTTTAAAAATAGAACCTGGTGAATTCACTGCACTTTGCATAACAGGATATTTAAGATGGTGGTTGAAAAAGCTGTAGTCTGAAATTTTCTTTTTAAAACTGTGCTATAAGGTGCTGTTATTATTATTGATATTATCATTTTGTTATCATTACTATTATGAATTCAATATTTGTAACAATTTATTTTTTTGAGTGAAGGTGGCTAATATATTTTCTGGCAAAAGTAGCTTTAACAAGTTGTCACTACTTATTGGTGTTCCTCTCAAATCGATCCAAGTTAAAGAGTGAAATAAAAAAATACGATCAATAGGAACATTTGTAAAAAAAAAAAAAAAAAAAAAAAAAAAAATAAACAATGATGTGGTTTTGTTTTTCTGTGACCAATGAGTAAACACCTTACGAGCAGCTCCTACATTACTTAGTAAAAGTGCTAAAATGATAGAGAAAATGTGGATTAATATAAGCTAGCTTAAATTCCAACAAGACAGCTGCTTACTTGTAGCTTTCATTGTAGATTAAACTCAAGTAGAAGCTCTTATTGCCCGTTGACTTTATCTCATTTAAAATCCAAGACAACCAAGCCCTCGTAGATGTCAAGCAATGTATCTTTTACATCAATTTCAGTTTGAGCTTGATAGGGACTTGTTTTAAAAATAGAACCTTGTGAATCCACTGGATTTTGCGTAACAGGATATTTAAGCTGGTAGTTGAAAAAGCTATAGTCTGAAATTTTCTTTTTAAAACTGTACTATAAGGTGCTGCTATTATTATTGTTAGTATTACTATTATGAATTCAATATTTGTAACAATTTATTTTTTAGAATGAAGATTTTCTGGCAAAATTAGTTTTAACAAGTTGTTATTACTCCTTGGTGCTCCTCTCAAATCGATCCAATCTGGGGCTACCTAGAGTTCATATGTTATATAATTGTCTGGAATATGTGGAAGCTTAAAAACTTAAAAAGTTTCTTTTGTGTGCGTTGAGATTTGCAATTTTAGATATTTGTTGATCTCAGTTAATGGGTATTCAGTCTTCTCTGCTGCATTCTTCAAATTATTTTTCTGAACAATGGCAACAACAAATCTAATCAGAATATTTGGCTAATCTCCAACGCATGACCTTAATGCTTAAACAGGATCAAGTTGTCCTCTCACAACAAAGGTCAGATAAATCTTCCAGCTTCTTGCTTAAAGAACCAATCACTAGCTGGATTCTGTATGCTACATGAAAAGAACAGACTCAAGTTTAGTTTATGGCACTGGCACTCTTGGTGAGCTCTTGTTCACAGCTATACCTGAGCAACTGGCATGACGAAGTATCCAATATTTTGGTCCTGAAACCAGTGTTGTAGTCATAGCTAATTAGTGTTATGCCCGTGTTACGTTCTTCTTAGAACTTAAACATGACACACTTTTTACAATCTGGAATCAAATAGATCAGAGTCATAACTTTCTTTTTTTCTCTAAGGTGGTCGGTAACAGTTTGCAACACTTAAAGTATTTTGAACATTTTCTAAAAATTAAGCTTGATGACTGCATGTATTGTATGTGACTAAACATGGCCAAGAGATGAACTAAGAATACAAAATAATGTGAAACCAGGTTTAGAGCCACAGTAAAAGTCAGAAAATTAAGGTGACCATTGTCACCATGGTGAATTCTCTTAAAACTTGATTAAAAAGGGACATTTTTTCATGCTTTTCGCAGTTTGATACCATTATTGTAAGTGATAGTGTTGATCCACTGAAGTAAAAGGGCATGTAGCAGCTTTCCTAACCCTAAAAGCACAAAAGACATAAAAGTAGGGAAAACCCAATCTGGGGCTACCTAGAGTTCATATGTTATGTAATTGTCTGGAATATCTGGAAGCTTAAAAAGTTTCATATGTGTGCATTTGGATTTGCAAACTTAGATATTTGTTGATCTCGATTAATGGCAGTATTCATACTTCTCTGTTGCACTCTTCGAATTATTTTTCTGAACAATAGCAACAACAAATCTAATCAGAATTTTTGGCTAATCTTTCACATAATTTGGATCTCTAATGCATGACCTTAATGCTTAAACAGGATTGAGTTGTCCTTTCACAACAAAAGTCAGATAAATCATCCAGTCAGCTTCTTGCTTAAAGAACCAATCTCAAGCTGGAGTCTGAATGCTACATGAAAAGATCAGACTCAAGTTTAGCTTATGGCACTGGCTCTCTTGGTGAGCTCTTGTTGACAGCTATACCTGAGCAACTGATGAAGTATCCAATATTTTGGTCCCGAAACCAATGTCATAGTCATAGCTAAGAAGTATCACATTCTTCTTAGAACTTAACCATGACAGACTATTTACAATCTGGAATCAAATAGATCAGAGTCATAATTTTTTCATTTGCTCTAAGGTGGTCGGCAACAGTTTTGACTACTTAAAGTATTTTGAACATTTTCTATAAATTAAGCTTGATGAATGTATTTATTGTATGTGACTATTAAAACATGCCCAAAAGATGAACTAAGAATACAAAATAATGTGACACCAGGTTCAGAGCCACCTTAAAATTCAGAAAATTAAGGTGACTCTAAACTCACCATGGTGATTTCTCTTAAAACTTGTTTAAAAAGGGACATTTTTTCTTGCTTTTTGCAATCTGTCATTATGAAGTATGCTATGTTGAGTATAGATATCCTATGTCTCTGAAAAGAAACATCACCTTTAATCCTCATCATCAAATATATTTTTGATACCATTAATATTTTAAGTGATAGTGTTGATCCATTGAAGTAAAAGGGCATGTAGCAGCTCTCCTAACCCTAAAAGCCAATCTTTTCGCTTCCCTAACGCTGAAACAATAGAAAGTAATGATAAACAATGATGTGGTTTTGTTTTTCTGTGACCAATGAGTAAACACCTTACGAGCAGCTCCTACATTACTTAGTAAAAGTGCTAAAATGATAGAGAAAATGTGGATTAATATAAGCTAGCTTAAATTCCAACAAGACAGCTGCTTACTTGTAGCTTTCATTGTAGATTAAACTCAAGTAGAAGCTCTTATTGCCCGTTGACTTTATCTCATTTAAAATCCAAGACAACCAAGCCCTCGTAGATGTCAAGCAATGTATCTTTTACATCAATTTCAGTTTGAGCTTGATAGGGACTTGTTTTAAAAATAGAACCTTGTGAATCCACTGGATTTTGCGTAACAGGATATTTAAGCTGGTAGTTGAAAAAGCTATAGTCTGAAATTTTCTTTTTAAAACTGTACTATAAGGTGCTGCTATTATTATTGTTAGTATTACTATTATGAATTCAATATTTGTAACAATTTATTTTTTAGAATGAAGATTTTCTGGCAAAATTAGTTTTAACAAGTTGTTATTACTCCTTGGTGCTCCTCTCAAATCGATCCAATCTGGGGCTACCTAGAGTTCATATGTTATATAATTGTCTGGAATATGTGGAAGCTTAAAAACTTAAAAAGTTTCTTTTGTGTGCGTTGAGATTTGCAATTTTAGATATTTGTTGATCTCAGTTAATGGGTATTCAGTCTTCTCTGCTGCATTCTTCAAATTATTTTTCTGAACAATGGCAACAACAAATCTAATCAGAATATTTGGCTAATCTCCAACGCATGACCTTAATGCTTAAACAGGATCAAGTTGTCCTCTCACAACAAAGGTCAGATAAATCTTCCAGCTTCTTGCTTAAAGAACCAATCACTAGCTGGATTCTGTATGCTACATGAAAAGAACAGACTCAAGTTTAGTTTATGGCACTGGCACTCTTGGTGAGCTCTTGTTCACAGCTATACCTGAGCAACTGGCATGACGAAGTATCCAATATTTTGGTCCTGAAACCAGTGTTGTAGTCATAGCTAATTAGTGTTATGCCCGTGTTACGTTCTTCTTAGAACTTAAACATGACACACTTTTTACAATCTGGAATCAAATAGATCAGAGTCATAACTTTCTTTTTTTCTCTAAGGTGGTCGGTAACAGTTTGCAACACTTAAAGTATTTTGAACATTTTCTAAAAATTAAGCTTGATGACTGCATGTATTGTATGTGACTAAACATGGCCAAGAGATGAACTAAGAATACAAAATAATGTGAAACCAGGTTTAGAGCCACAGTAAAAGTCAGAAAATTAAGGTGACCATTGTCACCATGGTGAATTCTCTTAAAACTTGATTAAAAAGGGACATTTTTTCATGCTTTTCGCAGTTTGATACCATTATTGTAAGTGATAGTGTTGATCCACTGAAGTAAAAGGGCATGTAGCAGCTTTCCTAACCCTAAAAGCCAATTGGTTGGATACCCTAACGGTGAAACAATGGAAAGTAATGATAAACAATAATGTGGTTTTTTTTTCTGTGACCAATGAGGAAACATCTTTTTTTGAATAAAGATGACTAATGGATTTTCTGGCAAAAGTAAATTTATCAAGTTGGAGTGAAATAAACAAAAATGTGATCAATAGGAACATTAATTTACGAAAAAAAAATAACGACTAAATTTTGAAAGTGAGTACAAAGGACATAAAATAGGAGAGAACCCCAATCTGGGGCTACCTAGAGTTCATAAAATTGTCTGGAATATCTGGAAGCTTAAAAATGTGTTTGTGTGTGTTTGGATTTGCAGACTTAGATATGTGTTGATCTCGATTAATGGGCATTCATACTTCTCTTTTGCACTCTTCGAATTATTTTTCTGATAAACAGCAACAAGAAATCTAATAAGGATTTTCAATACTGTACAATATTTTTCTGTACCATTTGTAATATGCAACAGCTTTCATGCTTTTACAACAGTAATAGGCTTTAGAGGTCACAGTGTATGTTATTAGAACTTAGTTAGCTTGGTACGCAGAGTTTGAGTCCTGCATTGTACTTAAATGGTAACCCCGTTACTTTGTGCCTTTACAGTTAAGAAAAAAGCTTGTGCTTGAACTGACCAGATTAGGGGCACTGCTATAAACCTCTACCCCAGAGTTGTATAGCAGTGGAAAAATCCTAAATTTAAACTGCAATTATGTATCACCAATAAAGCAATCGAATACAGTGACTTTTGATTATAAACTGTTACTTCTACCCTAACCCTAATAGTGACTACAGTGACTACAAGACTATGCTGCCTAGCCAGTGAATGTATCAAATACACTAACTACAGTGACTACACTGAATGCAGTGGCTACACTGTCTACAGACACCAACTTCACAGACTGGGGTGTCTACACAGACTACTGTGACTATGCCGTCGACACTGACTAAACCGCCGACACTGACTACACCGTCAACACAGACTACACCGACTACACCAACTACACTGACTTTACTGACTACATTGACGTCACAGATTACAGTGACCACATCAACTTTATTGACTATAGACTTACCACTACCACACTACTTGTACACAAACAACGTTGCGTAATTCTTATGAACTCTGTGCTGTAACTTCAAACTATTTATGGAACATCAGGGTCAAATTTTTGTTTTAATCACCTCTTATTGCCTCTGTATTTCGTACTTGCTCTTCTGCATTTTTTAAAGCGACTATTTTTATAAGTTAGCATGTGACCTGTTCTCTTAATGGAATTGCAGATTTTTAACAATGTACTTCAATTGTTACATTGTAAGATAGTTAAGTTCCTTTCATTAATTATGCAGGAATAATTAAAAATTACTAAAATATGTGCCAGTGACATTAGAGAGAAATGTTGTAGAAAATACAGGTCCCTCTTCTTCCCTCTACTACCAGCTTTTTTATGTAAATGATACCTCAAGAAATGACATGAATAATACTGCATAGGCAATTGTTTATTTATTTATCTGATTTCCTTGCAGAAAGATGAGTGGACTCGATGCGTGGATTGGACACTGAATCAAGGGAGGAGCTTGTCACAGCAAGGAGAAGGAACGAAGAGGGAGATCAAAGAACTTCACTACAGATCAAATTAAAAGGAAGAACTGATGGAGGAACCTCTTTAAAGTAAAGGTAGCAAGAGTAGATATTTAAACTTTTTTCTCGAAAAAATAGGGCAGGTGCGAAAGAAGGTCTGAATGGATGCATAACTGATTGACTCAGTGAAAGCTTATAGCAGTTGTCAATCTTGTGCGACCTACACTTCATTTTAGAGCGAAGAAAGGTAGATGTAGTGGATGTCAATCAAAGAAAAGCTGCTCCAGTTTTTTACATTAATTCTGACTCGATTATAGTTCAAGGCAACAGAGCCCCAAAAATTATGGGTTAATTTTCTTAAGTACCCGGTAAAGATTGGAGATTGTTTTTCCAAATTGGCTAATCCAAATAAGATTCAAACAAAAGAAAAATCGTTGGTCAAAGTAACTCTGTTTCTAAGTCCAAATGTTTATAGGAAGGAATAGACAAAATCAGAGTCAATAAAATGATCAGTAATTTCACTCACAGGGTAAGCCCGATAAAACATGATCACAAGTAAATTTCACGTTATGATTTCCAAAAGGTTTTCAAAGTAGATTTTATGATGTCAAAAAAATCGTTTGTTAACTCAATTATTTCAAATCCTGCTTCACGTGAGAATTCAAGTCCTTAGATCTGTATGCATTGAAAGCGGCTACACTCTACGACAAATTCCAATTCTGTTTTGAACTTTCGTCACCGAAACTGAACCTTGGACAAAAAAGAAAATGGCTTTTTACAATTTATGATGAAAGTTTGTATGAGCGATTATTTACACTACAGCCGACTTAGAATCAAGTCGAAAAATAACTAGAATATTGACGGCTTTGTTTTGATTGACAAACAAACACCATGTTAAGATGATAAATATGTAATGGTCGCCACAATATTGGAAACGGCGTAAGCAATTGCTCAGGAAATCAGCCGGTGGNCTCAGTGAAAGCTTATAGCAGTTGTCAATCTTGTGCGACCTACACTTCATTTTAGAGCGAAGAAAGGTAGATGTAGTGGATGTCAATCAAAGAAAAGCTGCTCCAGTTTTTTACATTAATTCTGACTCGATTATAGTTCAAGGCAACAGAGCCCCAAAAATTATGGGTTAATTTTCTTAAGTACCCGGTAAAGATTGGAGATTGTTTTTCCAAATTGGCTAATCCAAATAAGATTCAAACAAAAGAAAAATCGTTGGTCAAAGTAACTCTGTTTCTAAGTCCAAATGTTTATAGGAAGGAATAGACAAAATCAGAGTCAATAAAATGATCAGTAATTTCACTCACAGGGTAAGCCCGATAAAACATGATCACAAGTAAATTTCACGTTATGATTTCCAAAAGGTTTTCAAAGTAGATTTTATGATGTCAAAAAAATCGTTTGTTAACTCAATTATTTCAAATCCTGCTTCACGTGAGAATTCAAGTCCTTAGATCTGTATGCATTGAAAGCGGCTACACTCTACGACAAATTCCAATTCTGTTTTGAACTTTCGTCACCGAAACTGAACCTTGGACAAAAAAGAAAATGGCTTTTTACAATTTATGATGAAAGTTTGTATGAGCGATTATTTACACTACAGCCGACTTAGAATCAAGTCGAAAAATAACTAGAATATTGACGGCTTTGTTTTGATTGACAAACAAACACCATGTTAAGATGATAAATATGTAATGGTCGCCACAATATTGGAAACGGCGTAAGCAATTGCTCAGGAAATCAGCCGGTGGAGTTTAATTTCCACTCTTTAATAAATACCGTCGCCATTGCTGGATTTGAATTTCTGCCAAGACAGACAAACATTCAATACTGCAGAAAATAGCGCCTAAAATCGGAAAAGTTGTGGATTTGAACGTATAATTTTATTTTCTACCTGCGAAGATATAGCGTGGTTAATTTTATTGTGTTTGTATTGTGATAGGAGGAAATTGTATTCGAGTGAATAAGCCATTCATTCTATTGTCATACAAACAAAATTAACCGAGTTATTTGGCTCTCTGCGAGTAATAACACAAGTAATATGTTCAAATTCACAACGGGTCCTAGTTTTAGGCGCTCTGTTCTGTAGCATCGATTGCTTTTCTGTCTTTGCGGAAATTTAAGTCTAATTTTTTTGGTTACTCGCGCGGCAAATGTTTACATTGTACAAATTTCATTTCACCATTCAGACCTTCTTTATTTTTTTTTTCAAAAAGCGACTAAGATATCAAAAGTCAGGAACAAGCCATAACTACGTTTGCTGAAAGACGATTCCTTGGTAAGTTTTTCTGAAAATCTTAGAGTTGTTGAGATAAATTTTTATGGTAATTTCTTGTCTTCACGAAAATATGATTGGAATGTGGCTCCAATAGACTTAGAAAAAATACGGCGCGCCCACGGCGCATGCGTCGTATTTTTTTAAAAAAATTAAAGTTTATTTACTTTAACTACTACTATTAAAAACAAGAGAATAAAAAAGTATTTTTCAACTTGTCTTTTATTTCATTTTCTTTCTTGCCCTTACTATTATTACAACACAAAGCAATCAACACTTAAGTTCAATAATGTTTTATTTATTAAAAAGGTGTCAAGAAAATTTTTTCAAAAATATACTAAGTCTTTTGGCGGGAAAATCTGGGCAAATTTGCACAGCGTTTCCCCTGACAACATTTTCGAGACAAAAATATGCAAGACTTGCCTTTAAAAAATTCTCTGCTAAAACTTTAATACAGTTTCTTGTGCAAAAGTTTTTAACTTTAACTTCTCAGAAATTTCTTAACAAACCTTTCGCGCAAGTTTAAGACCGAGTAAAACGAACAATATTTTCCTGTCACTTGTCGCGCACAAAGCTACGTTGCAAGGCAAGATTCGGTTTGTTGCGCGTATTACCTTCCACCCGCTCAGCAAATTTTCACGCTGCAAAGAGTAGAAGTCTCTTCTATCCTTTGCAACACGAAAATTAGTTGAACAAGTAAATGGTAAAGCACACAAACTGAATCTGTGTGCTTTACCATCTACTCGTTCAATTAATTTTCGTGTTGCAAAGAATAGAAGAGACTTCTACTCTTTGCAGCGTGAAAATTTGCTGAGCGGGTAGAAGGTAATACGCGAAACAAACCGAATCTTGCCTTGCAACGTGGCCTCATGCGCGACAAGTTACAGGAAAATATTGCTCGTATTACTTAGCCTTAACAGTTGGAAGCAAAAGATGGCAAACTATAAACAGTTCAGTTTGAAAGACAAAAACTGTGAATCTACATAAAAGTTTGAAGCCAAACGAAATATTTCCGAAAAAAAAAAACAAGCAAGTTTTTGGACTTGCGACAATTTATCGCTTTTTGGAAAGTTTCCCTCCCTTTGCAATTCTATTTCTATTTTTAAACTTATTTATAGCTTGCCAAGTTGCCTCTTACACCATCTCGGGCAAAAAATTGTGAGCAAAAATTTCCACAAAACTTTTCTTGCCAAATTTTAAAGTCATTTTTAGCCTCATTTCTGGTTCAAACCAAACAGAATTTCCTTGAAAAGTTTCCTTTCAGTGTGTTATCTTGTGTCCAATGGAGATTCCGTTTTATTCTTGCACAAGCTGGTGTTACATTCAATACTGAGACCTATTTCAGCGAATACAATTCGTATTTATAGCACAGGGAAGAAACAGACGTAAACTTTAAGCTAGAAATTTTAATTCCCCTTTTTATTTTTCTTTCAGTAAGCATTTGCTTTTCTTTGCTGTTCACCCAAGTTTTTTGCAGTTTAAACCACAAACCGCCCCCGCCATCATTGAAAGAAAATAATTGTCACCTCC